AAAAGAAAAATTTAATCAACAAATTATTTCAATTTCAGTATTAAATCATTAATTTTAATATTTATTTATTTTTTTATTACTAATAATAATGTAATAATTTTGTTATTCTTATGCTATCATTTTCAACATTATTATTTATGATATCATCGTTTGTATTAATTTTCTAAGTAATATATCCTTGTTGTTTACATTATTATAAATTTTTTTTTTTAAAGAAAGATTATATTTGATATTTTCATTTCTTCACTTCCTTTCATTTTTTTGCTCTTTTTTTCCTACCTCTTTCTTCTATTCACTTTTTTTTTTTAATTTTTCATCTTATTCCTTTTTTACACAAAAAATTTTTAATAAATTGAAATATGAAGAAGAAAAAGGAAAAAAAAAAGAAAGAAAAGAAAAGAAAAAAGTTTAAATCACACATTTTCGAAAGTGTTAGTTAGTTTGTCGTTCGTTAATTTTTTTTTTTTTTTTTTTTTTGTTCTTCGCTTTTTTTCTTTCACCTATTTTTTAAATAAAGTGCTGTTTTAATAAATGTAAAATTTCTTTTTTTTTTTGAAAATTAATGAAAGATAGAAGGAAAAAAGTGAAAAATTTGAAATGAAAAAAAAAAAGTTATAATTTAAAATGAGACTTTTTAACTATTTTTATAATCTTTTAAACTTTCTTTTTCCTTTTTTAAATAAAAACAACAAAGGAAACTAATATCCCAGAAAAAAAAACCTAATTACCTTATGTAAATTATAGACATGTATGTATGTATGTATGTGTGTATGTATGTATGTGTGTGTGTTTTGTATGTAATGTGTATATATCCATACAAATGCATGTAATTTCCGTGTAACCACACCGACACACATACAAACACATACACACACACACATACACACCCACGCACACATCGCCTATTCTAAAATTAAATTATTCCATATTTTAAATTGTAAATTAAAATTTTTTTCTTCATTTCACTTTGATACGACTAACAAATGTACGATGAAAAAATTTCTGACAAAATGTAGGAAAAAGTGAAAAAAAAATTAAAACTCTTTGAAATTAACAATTAATTGAAAAAGATACAAAAAAAGTAACGGTAGAAAATATTTTTTTTAACATTTCTTATTAAATTAGTGACTAACTAAATAAATACATAATAATAATAATAATAAATAATAATAATAACAATAATAATAGAGTTAATAAATAGTGATATTTACCATTGGAATTATAATTAAAATTATATAGTTAATATAATTATTTTTAATGATATATATGTATATATTATAATTGCGTGGTTAATATAATTATTATAATAATTGTAATTGTTAACTGTAATAATAATAATAATAATAATAATAATAATAATAATAAAAAGAATGATAATAACGATGATGTTGATTGATAATTGATCATTTTACATGTTTGGCACCAGTTTTTTTTTCGAACTTATTCCCTGGAGATTTACTGATTTTCATGATTCATCATTCATTCATACTGCATGGTCTCACCCTTTCATGCAATTTCACAATTCTTTCGCTGAATCTCTTGAGATTTCAAATTTTCAACAAAAACAATTTCACCTTTATTTTAGTTTTGTTTACATCCTTTTCTTTTTTTCTATTGCTATTTTTACTTTCAATCCTAATAAATGAATGGCTAATTTTGAATTTCAGTATAAAAGATTGAAAGGACTGATTAATTTTAATGACCGATTCATTTAGTGGTTAGAATAACGAACTGAATTAAAGATTGAAATCCTAGAAAGATAGCATAGCATTAAAATTATTAATAATTGAAACTTCTGACTTAATTAATAAATTAAATCGATCATATTGATTGATTTAAATCAATTATTTGATCTAAAAAAAAATTAATAGCAATAAAATTTATTCATTTTAAATCATTTATGTGCTGGATTATTTGGTTATTTATGGTACCATTGTTGTTTTACTTTAAAATGAAAAAAAAATTTAAGTAATTAAAGCAAGAATTTATTGATATTACAATAAAAAGTTTCAGTATTGAAAAATAAATGTAATAAAACAATTTTATATACTAATATTACATGTAAATAATTTTTTTTAACGTGTAAAATTACAATGTAAATATTTTCATTTCGCTATAAAATTATTATTGCTGTATATTATTTTATATTATTATATAAAATTAAATAATTTCTTCTAATCTATTAATTGTTAAAAATTTGAAATGACGAAAAATTTTTAAATTAGAAAAAAAAAGGAGGCGTACTGAATATTTCCTGTAAATATATTTATACATATGCATATGAAGATATTATTTTACTACAAAATGTAAATTTAATAAATTACTTATCGCTATATGGCGCAAATGTAATTATTGTAGTAATTTACAACGAGGCGCTAATGTAATGAATGCTGCATTTACTATTAAAGTATAAGTATAATTATTATTTATTACAATATTTATTGATAAAATTTATTATAAGATTTAAAAATAAAAAATGATAACGGTAAGTAATAAAATGTAAATATGTATTTTTTAATTTTAATTTTTTTGTTTATGCAAGATACAAATATTAAAATAGACTTTTTAGCAATCATTTTATATAATAAATTTATTATGGTAATATTGATAAAATTTATGATTTATACTAAATTAAATTTTAAAAAATGAACGAATTAAAAAATCTTTTTAGTTGTTTAGCAATTATAATTGGATTGCTAACAAAAAATACGTATTTTACGTACGTACTAATTTCTATTCATTCATTCATTCTCAGTGAGTGAATCTTTTAATTAGAAAAATTGAAATTGATAACAAAAAGTACGCATTTTACGTAAGTATAATTTTTATTCATTCATTCTAGTGAATAAATCATTTAGTTAACGATATTTGAAATAGTAAATATATATTTTACGCGCAAAAACAACTTTAAAATCTCTTTATTTAGCCATTTATTTATTTATTTAATAAATTAATTAATTAATGAATTAATTAATTAACGAATTCATTTATTCCACTCATTCATTCATTCACCCATTTCTATTAGAAAGAGCTAGAAGAGTCCACCAGTACAGCTCCTCAAATCCCTTCCTTCCCTCTTCTTCTTCTTCTCATTTCCAACAAAGTTACAGCTAAACTCTCTCCAAATGCTAGGTGCTATATAGTTTAGTTAGCTTGCTTACTTCAAATCGATTCCTTTCTCTTTTTAAACTATTCTATTCAAAATTATATTTATTTTCTTCTTAACTCTATTCCATCCTTTTGAAACATTAAAATTTTTATTTTTCTTATGCATTCTCTTAAAAATGTATAAACTTTTCTCTTTTTTTTTCCCTCATTATTTCTTTTCCTTTTCTTTCCTTTTCTTTTTCTTTTTTTTTTTCCTCTTCTTTTTTTTCTTTTTTTTTTTCGTTGTTGTTATTATCTACATCTTATCATCATCTTCTACATCTCTCTACTTTTTTTCTTTCTTCTTTTCTCTCCCTCTCCCTCTTCTTCATTAATCTTCTACTCTATTTATCAAAGCTTTCATTACATTTCCTTCATTTCTTCCTCCTCTTTCTTCTCTTTTTTTTCTTCCCTCTCTTTCCTTTCTCTCTCTCTCCCTCTCTCTCCCTCTCTTTCGTCTCAATTTCAAAATTCATTTCCAAAATGTAACACTTATTTCTATATGTATTTTGTTTCCATTACACACATATATTTATTAACTTCTCCTACAAATAGCCTATAACTAAACCATTTGTTCATTTTAGCTTGGCGCAAATGACGTGTCCAATTCATTTTTATACTAATTTAAACTTGCAAACGACATATTCACAACGTGTATGAATGCATATGTGTGTGTGTGTGTATGTATGTGTGTGTGTGTATGTATGTATGTGTGTGTGTGTATGTGTGTGTGTGTGTGTGTGTGTGTATGCATGTGTGTATGTGTGGGTATGTTTGTTAAATATGTGCATACATTCGTCTATTTTTTCCTCTAGTTATGTAAAAAGTGAATAGCATAAAGGCTAAAATCGAACTATACCTATCCAACATCTATCTGTCTATCCATCTATCCATCGATCTATCTATCTATGCATCCATCTATCCACCGATCGATCAATCTATCGATCGATCGATCGATCGATCTATCTCTCTCTCTATCTACCCATTCTGTCTAGGTTTAACTTTTTTTAATTTCTACATATCGTCTATCCTAGGTTAGCCAACAGCACATCACTCTCTATTATTATTATTACTATTACCATTATCATTAGTTGTTATCATTAGCATTATCATTATTATTATTATTATTATTATTATTATTATTATTATTATTCATCAACTATAACCATTATTACCACTACTAACCATTATCTATTACAATCAATATGTTATCATTATTTTAATCTTAAATTGGTATCAAATTGTGAATTGTTGATATTATTTTCAGAAATTTTTTTACCAGACTATTTATGTTTCTTAAATTGAATATTTTTAATTTTACGTTTGTATAGGTTGTTTGTTTGTTTTTTTTTTTACGTGGGATTTTTACGTGATGTAAATATTTGACAACGAATGGAAAAAAAAGGATAAAATTGAAGAAAACAACATTAGGGATATGTTGTAATATAATTTCTTTTTTTTTTTTTTTGAATTTTAACATTATTATTTCTATTATTAGTTTTTTTTTTTTTAGTTGCAAAACATTTTGGCATTACTATTATTATTATTTTTTTCATTATTGTCATTATTATTGTCACTACTATTGTTATTATTATTATTACTACTACTACTACTACTAATACTACAGCAACTGTTTACTATTACTGTTACTGTTATTTATTACTGTTACTATTATTACTATTATTATTATTATTATCACTATTATTATAATAGTAATAATTATTAATAATTATTACTGCTATTACTTATTACAATTGACTATTATTTTTGTCGATCGATCATCAATCAATCAATCAATCAATCAGTCAGTCAATCAATTTTTTTTATTTTTTAATTCTATCATAAATTATCATATGCCACAACAATTATCAATGGCACAAGGAACACCACGTAAATTTGCGGAAAAAATTGCAATAATGGAAAGGAAGCAAAATGAAGATCAAGAAGTGTTTACCTCAGTTATGCGTGACGTACGTGCAATTACGAGTAATTGTACCGCTTCACCACCTGTTTGCTCTAGTCCACAAGCACTTGCACCACCAATAAATTGGAATCGTTCCGGTGGTTCATTACCAAATGTACATGAAATGGTACAACAGCAACCGGACATTCATCATTGGTCATATTTGCATGACTCATCACAATTGAATCAATCAAATCATTTACGTGGTCGTTCACCAATTACAACAACAACAACAACAACACACTATCATCCGTATAAATTATTCAAACAACATGAACGTTATTTACCAATTGATCAACTGGATTATCAACATTTGCATTGTTCAGCAAGTAATCATTTACAACCACCAGATATGTTATGGCCAAAGTAAGTAAATATTATTAAAATTAAGATTAAAAAAATAAAGTTAGTAAATTATTGGAATTAAAATAAAAAAAGTAAGGTAATTAAAATTAAAAAAAATGAATGAAATTAGTAATATTACTAAAATTACTGAAATTAAAATTAAAAAAAAAGTTAGTAACATTATTGAAATCAGAACAAAAAAGATAAATAAAGTTAGTAATATTAATAAATTTAAACTTAAATGTATAACTATATTTTTAATATATTCAATTTAATTAAGAAAATATATATTTCATATTTACTCCCTTTTTTTTTAAAAAAAAATGAAATATATTTAATGGCAATAATAATAATTTTACTTATATTTTTATTAAGCTTAAAAAAAAAAATCATATATATTTATATATTTCTTTTATCCCATCATTGCTTCATAACTATTAAGCTATTTCATTACGATTTTTTCTTTTCCTTTTTTCACATGAGATAGATAATTTAGGTCGACGAAAATCTGAAATTTGAATATTTTATTAATTCGAATACAAATTATTTTAATGAGTTATAATAAGTAATTTATGACTTCGCCCATAACTTTAACTAACGATAGATACACTGAGCATTATCATTCTATCGATTATTAATTATTAATTAGCCGATAAGTTATTTGTTTGAGGCAAAGGGAAATTACTGATAAGAATTATCAATATTATAATAAGAATGAATAATAGTGAATCTTATTAATATTATGATAATAATGAATAGTGAGAATGGCATTTGTTAATATTATGATAAGAAAAAATAAATTAACTTAATTGCCTTTGTAATTTTTTAGAAGCTTTTAATTATTATATTGCAGGCAAAATTTGTAAATGATATTAAAATAGATTTAAGAAAAAATAAAATATCCTTTCAAATTGATTGAATTATATTAACACCTTGATTTTTCACATTAAATTATATTTACCTTTTTTTTAAATTCATATAAACTTTTTGTCATTTCTTTTTTTTTATTTCTCAAATATTTATCATATATATATATATATAGCTTTTTTTTGCAGAGCTCGTAGTGATCCGACAATTTTCATGAATTTATATCAACAACAAGAACGATTAGAAAATTTTAACATACAAGATTTGACGTTATTATCATCCAATCAATCATTATCACCATTATCATTTCATCCTACAACCGACTCATTTAATGGTACATTACAACAAAAAATTATCAATGATAGTAAGGAAATTACAATTGGTTCATCATTACCTGATATACCAACACCAATTGCAACAATACAATCATGTCCATATCATTATCATTATCATCATTATCATCATCTTCATCATCTTCATCATCATCATCATCAAACAATAACACAACGACATAATACAAGTTTATGTCAAACTTTAGCTACACCACCATCATCATCCGAATCACAATCAGCGCCAACAAGTCCAGCGCAAAGTGTTGAATTACCAGTACCAACAGCATGGCCACAGCGTAATTATTCAAATAGTCCTGAATCACGTGAAATACCAAATATTGTTCTCACGGGTACCGATGGTGAATTGGATTGCTTTGAGGATTTGCAAGATCTACATTTAGATGCTAATGAACTACAACAATTGCTAAGTAGCAATGAACAGGTTGATCCAACAGGTGAAACACAACTTCTTCAATAATTTTCTTCCTCCTTTTTTTTTTTTAATTTTTCTTTTCTTTCTTTTTTTTTCTTTTTGTTTTTGTTTTTTTTTTCATGATCTCTTATTGATTAAGGTTGAATTAAGGTTTTTTTTTCCTTTTTTTTAAAAATATTTTTTAAAGATTTAAAAAGAAAAAACAAAACAAAACAAAACAGAAAATTAATCGAAAATAATGTTTATTTACTTATTGATTTATTTCATAAATAGATATATTTTAATAACAAAAAAATTTATGACAATTAATTGTTTATAATTAAGATCTCTTAATTTTTTTTTTTTTTTTTCACGAGAAATTCTTATAAATTATAGATGGCAGTGATATTTCGATAATATAATTGATAGGATATATTAAAAAGAATATAATTTTGCATTTCTTTTCAAAAATTAGAATCCTTTTCTTTCTTTTCTTTTCTTTTTTTTTCTGTGTAGAATTGGATGATAATTTTTGATTTTTTTGATTTTTAATTTGTTATATTTTCATTAATTTTTGTGCAATATTGATTAACACAAAATAGCAATTTTTGTTATTTTTCATTTTATTTTTTCTAAAAAAAACTATTTTGTTAGCAGAAAAAAAATTTTATAACAAATTTTCATTAAATTTAATTTTTATAGCAAACGATAAGAATGAAAGTAAACTATTTTCTTCTTTTCTCTTTGTTTGTGTAAATTTTTTTTTTTTTTTTTTTTTTTTTGTTCTGCCTCAAATTTCATCAAAAAACTTTTTTCTTCCTTTGCAATAAATTTTTTTTTTTTGCAATTAGATTAATTAGTATGGATTATATCATTATGTTAAATTTTTCGTCTAAAAAGATTTTCAATTTTATTGCATTGTTAATTTTTCTTTTTTTTCTTCTTTTCTCTCTCTCTTTCTTTTTTTTCTCTCTTTCTTCTTATATTATTTGATATTCAGATTTGAATGAAATGATAAATTAATGTCTTTGAAACGAAAAATAAATTTTGCTGTTGAAAATAGAAATTATAAGAGATGGCTAAAGTCAAGTAAGTGAATAATAATTATATGCATAATTTAATACCCCAAATTGCTTAATGATTATAACGCAAGTAAATAATTAATTTCTTAATTGCTAATATTTAATTCCTATAGGAAGTCTTAAATTTAATTTACAAATTTCATTATCTTTTAATTCACTACTGAAATGTACCCCGTTAGCATATAAGTTTATAATTAATATCAATTATGATACTTTTATATTCTAAAAATAAAAAGAAAGAAGGTAGGAGAATAGTAAAATTTATAAAAGCATATATACATTTTCCTTTTTTTTTTTTTTTGAAATATATCTTTTCATATTTATTATATTATACTTAAAAATATTTCATAAATAATTTCTAAATTAAAATCTTAATTTAATTTTTGTTTAATTCATCAAAAATGAAATTGGGTTTCTTTTTTAAATTAGTGTCGGGATCACTTTTTCTTTAAAAAAAAAATTCATATGAAAAAAAAAGAAAATAATTATGTGTCACTAAAATTTTTGAAATTTCCACTAAATAAGCTCATATAATTAGTAAAACTGTTTAAATTTTTCATTTTTGAAATTTATTTAATTTGTTTTTAATTGATAGTAATTTATACTAATATTAATTTTTCATAATAATATGTAAAAAAAGAAAGAAAAGAAAATATAAATTATAATAAATCAATAAATACATCTTTTAAGTATATACATTAAAATATATTGTTGAAACTAAGGAAAAAAAAGAAAAGTAAAGAAAAAAGAAGAAAAAAAAAGGAAAAAGAACGATGAGAGAAAAAAAAAAATTGTCTCATAAATTATTCTTTTTTCAAAAGCAAAATTTTTTTTTTTTTTTAATAATATTGTACATATATTCACAATAAATATATGTATTTTTTATAATAGTGCCATAAAATTTATTAAATTTTTTATAATATTTGTAATTAATATTTTGTCTGTATTTTAAAGTTTACTTAATATTAATTTTATTTCATTTATTAATTTTGTGTTAAAATATTGTTTATTTACAAAAAAAAAAAAAAAAAAAAAACAAAAACAAAAACAAAAAAAAAGCAAAAAAAGAAGAGAGAAAAAGAGAAAAAAAAAACTTTTTGATTCATTATTGCTCAAATATGTTTGTTTTTCATTTCTGCAATTAATTGTTTTATATTTATATGTGCATGTATGTATGTGTGTGTGTGTGTGTGTGTGTGTGTGTGTGTGTGTGTGTATGTGTGTATGTGTGTATGTTTGTTTACTTATATGTTTTCTTTTTTTTTTTTTGTTTTCCCATTTTTCTTATTTTAAATTTATTAAGAAGAAGAAAAAGAAAGAAAGAAATATATATGTTTTGATGAAATTTTATTTAGTAACAAAATATGATAAATGATTTTCTTTTCTTTTTTTTTCATTATAGTCTTTCAGGTTTATAGAAAAAAAAAAAAAAAAAATTGATTGAATTGTGAAAGATGAATGAATATGATTTGATCGATGTTTTATCATTTGATATTTGATTATTTTTATAAATTTGATTTGTAAATGACAATTGAATGTTGATATCATTAAAAATTTTTATCCATCTTTTGCTTTACACCTTTTTTTTTTTTTTTTTCTTTCCCTCTTAAATAAAATCATTTCAATTTAGAAATTTTTTTAAAACAATGAAATGATCGTACTCTTTCTTTTTTCCTTTATCGTATCATTTGAAATCATTGATGATAAGATCAAAAAGAGTTTAACAGCATTCATTAAATTAAGACATTTCAAATTAATCATGATAAGATTAAAAAGAGTTTAATAACAATCATTAAATTAAGATTAGAATTGTTTTTTGTTTCAAATCTTCCCCTCCTCTCTCTCTCTTTCTCTCTCTCTTCTTAATTTTAATAATTTAAAAATTTGAAAATCTAACAAGCAAACGAAAAATAAAAGGACAAAAAAAAAAAAAAACAAACAAACAAACAAAAAATTCGTGAAAAAATTAAACTATAAAATTAAACTGATGAATAAGAAGAAATTTGTTAAAATATCATTTAATAGAAGTACGATGCATATAGTCTTTCCATTTCATTATGTAATTTGAAAGGTATAAAAAATAAAACAGTAAAAAACGAAAAAACAAAAAAAAAAAGAAAAAAACCTTTTTTCATCTAAAAATAGAAGCAAACAGATGGTTTAATATATAAAATATATTTCCTATAATATAAAATTTTATAAGAAAAAGTAAAAAAAAAATGGAAAAAAAAAGTAAAAAATCACGAAATGATTAAATGACATTTTATAAAGTAAAAATTAAACAAAAAAGAAAGAAATATGTATTTATTTGTTTTTTTTTTCAAAATATTTTAAATTCAAACATTTATTCAATCTCTTTTACTATCTTTCAATTTCTTTTTTCTTACTATCTTTTTTATATATTTTTTGTAAATATAATTGACATATATCAATATGATAGATACAAAATGTAGAAAAGTACATTCATATATAAAAATAAAAATGCAATAAATTATTGATTAACCAATTTAAAGCAATTCTATGTTCTATTCTAAAGCTTTCTAATTTTTGAAAATATTAACTTTATTGATTTAAAATTCGTTATATATTGCTTACTATTTATCAGTTTTAAAAAATGAACATTAGTTAGAAACTAAAGAAGTATTTACAAATTTTGAAAAAGAAATAATAAAAAAGAAAAGAATTACTTAATATAATTGGGTATTTGTAAAATGTTCTCTTTTCATTTATTTGAAACTTCCATATTTTAAAATTTTTCAAAATGAATCAGATTATATTTTTAAAAGAATTTTTTTTTTTAAGAAAAATATTAAAAAAAGATAATGTTCAATATATTTATTTATTCTTAATTTTTTTTTTCATTTTGAGGTTTTCGAGAGTCTTTAAAACTAATCGATAATCAAGAGCATCTATATCAGCTTGATTAATAATAATTAATAAATAATAATCAAATTGTGACTAATTAATTACGTATTGCTTAAAAAAATTCAAAAAAAAATTAAAAAATTGAAAGAAAGATTATTTTATACGTAAGTATAACTATTTATACATAGGTTTATATTAATTTATTAAAAGAATATCCGTATGTAACGTATTTAAGAATATGCATACGCACGTACGTGTATATACGTGATATTATATTTATGCAATAAAATTTTTGTAAATATTATTAAATATTAAAAGAAAAAAAAAAGGAAAAACGAAACTATTTGCATATTCTTTAACAAATTATATATGCTTAAAATAGCTAAAAAAGAAAAATTGAAAAAATCATTAATTAAAAAAGAAAAAAAAAATTTCATTCTCATTTGTTATTAATAATTTCTACTTATTTCATACTTTTACTATTTTTTATGATCAAAAAATTGAAAGAAAAGTTATTTTCTCTCATTTCTTTCTTTTAAGACTTTATTACAAATTTATTATTTGGGTTTCTTTTTTCTTTAAATTATGAACTAATTTTTCTTTTTCTCTCTCTTTCTTCTTTCCCCTTCCTCTCTCTTTTCCTTTCTTTTTTTTTATTTTAGAAATGCATAAAACAATAGATCTATATTTGGTTGAATTATAGCTGAATACGAAAAAGAAAATCAAATTGGTTTGTCGTTTTAAAGAAACAAAAAAAAAAGTTAGAAAAGAGTTCGTTGTAAAATTAATGCAAAAGAAAAAAATATTTTTATTTTCTTTTCTTTTTATGCAATAAAAACATTCATGGTTAGAAACTAAATTGATGCTTTTTTTTTATCATTAAACCATTGTTTTTCTTTTTTTTTTTTTTTTTAATTTGCTTAAACAAAATAAAAAAAAAAAAGAAAGAAGAAGAAAGAAGAAAAAGAATAAATCTAAAAGGTAAAATAGACTAGGCTTAATGATTGAAATTGTTTTCTTTTAATTATTTTCTTTTTGTTTTTTTTTTTTCCTGAAAACTTTAAAAAAAAAAAAAATTGCAAAAGCATATAAAAACTTTCTTACATATTCTTGCAGACA